GGTAATAGGGAGAGTTTGATGACTGGTCGTTTGAAGACTCCAGAGGCTGTTTTTACTTCGGCAACTCTGGGAACATTGTCCTTTCCAGGGAATAAGGAAATAACTCTGCCCATTTTCCATTGGAGTGGAGGGAGATTATCTTCTTGAAGAATGACAAGATCGCCAGGGCTGATGTACTTCTGGGGAGTGGTCCATTTTGGGCGATTCTGCAAGGTATACAAGTAATCGCGTTGCCATCGTTTCCAGATATTTTGTGCAACGGATTGAACCAACTGCCATCTCTTGAGACGGTTCATAGGAGTACTTGTCTGATCCGTTTCAGGTAAAAGAGCAGGAGGTCCAAAAGTCAAGAAATGACCTGGTGTTAGAGCTTCTAATTCACATGGATCCGACGACAGTGGGGTAATTGGGCGTGAATTTAGCATTGCTTCAACTCTACATGTTAAAGTAGTGAATTCTTCAAGTGTGAGAACTTGCTCACCTATGACTCTACGTAGGTGATATTTAGCGCTTTGTACGGCACGCTCCCAAAGTCCTCCAAAATGGGGAGACCTAGGGGGAATGAAGTGAAAGGTGATTTCCTTCTCAAGAAGCCAAGTGTTGACAGGATGGGATTGCAGAATAATCTCTATCGTTTTCCGGAGTTGTCGAGCAGCACCGACAAAATTTGTGGCATTGTCTGAGTGTAAATTCCTGACTAGTCCTCGACGGGAAATGAACCGAGTCAATGAGGCCAAAAAAGCATCGGCTGTCAAATCTGTCACAACTTCTAGGTGGATGGCCTTTGTTGTCATGCAAATGAAAAGGCAGAGGTAGACTTTGATGTGTTGTAATCTGCGAACAGGGTAAAGCTTGACGTTGAAGGGACCTGCGAAGTCGACAGCTGAAGATTCAAAGGCTCTTGAAGGTAGAACTCTGGATGCGGGTAGGTCAGCCATTAGGGGCGCAGTGACCTTCGGTTTGAAGCGGTAGCACCGTAGGCAGCGGAAAATTCTGTTCCTTATCTTGCTTCTTGCGGATAAAATCCAATACCTTTGAGAGATGAGGGATTGTAGTGATTGCGGTCCACAATGCAGGAAGAGAATGTGGTAGTAGTCTATGATCAGATTTGTGACGAAGTGTTGTTTAGGCAACAGTATAGGATGCTTGGAGTTGAAGTTTAAATAGGCATTAGACAGTCGTCCACCAACTCTGAGAAGACCATCTTTGTCCAGGAATGGCAAAAGACGCTGAAGAGGTAATGAAGGAGTCTGGCCTTTTTGAAGAGCAGAAATTTCGTTTGAGAAGGATTCTTGTTGTACTAGATGTAGAATGTAAACTGTAGCTTTGTTGATTTCTTGCAGTGAAAGTCTTGAAGAAGTAGTTAATGGAACATCTTGTAGAGTAGACGATTCTGGCTTGAAATATTTCAAGGAGATCTTAGTTCGGCAGCGGTTGGTGAAGCGTAGAACATATGCAGTTACATGTATCAGCTTCGTCCATGAAGAAAATCTTGTAAGAAGTTCCAACTGAGGTAATGTTGTAGTTTGCAGTGCAGTTGGTTGCACAGGTTTTGTATCTGGAAGTGAATGTGAACATGACAACTTGAATGATGTAGTGGGCCAGAGCGATTGAGAGAGCTTGAGCCAGTCAGGTCCTGTCCACCAAAGTGGGTGGTTGGCCAATAGCGAAGGGAGTAGTCCTCTAGATCCACAATCAGCTGGGTTCTGTTCTGAGGTGATGTGAGACCACACAATTGGGGTAGAAGTTTCTTGAATTTCTGCCACACGATTGGAGACAAAGGTTTTGAGGCGATAGGCAGGAGTATGTATCCATGATAAAGTGATAGTTGAGTCACTCCAAGCGAACACTTCATTGATCGTTAAGTATGTACTAAGACAAGAGACACAATATTGGATTAGTTTGGAGAGAAGATGAGCTCCACAAAGTTCCAAGCGTGGTAGAGATAAGCGCTTTAGCGGTGCAACACGAGACTTTGCTATCAACAAATTGGTTGCAACTCCGTGGTCCTCCTTTTCAACTCTAAGAATCACTGAGGCGCAATATCCTGATTCGCTAGCATCACAAAAACCATGAATTTGGATATTTTTTGCTTGGTAAGTATCTACATGCCTAGGTATTTGTATCTCTGCAATCGAGGGTAGCTCCTTCAGAAATGAAATCCACTGTGAAGATAATTCACTTGGTAATGGATCATCCCATTTCAATCCTTTAGTCCATAAGACTTGCATGAAAGCTTTAGCCCAAAACAAAGGTGGAGTGATCCAACCCATTGGATCAAATAGTTGAGCGATAGCAGAAAGAACTGCTCTTTTGGTTAGCGGTAGATTTGGAATTGTAACAGTGTACGAAAATGAATCAATTTCTGGAAGCCATTTTACACCTAAAACATTGCATGATGATTCTTTCTCTGAAAAGAACTGTAGAGGTACGCCATGGTGATCTGATGGTATTGCATTTAGTATGTTCTGACAGTTAGAAATCCATTTTCTGAGTTGAAAGCCACCTTTAGACATTAACCTAATTACATCATCCTGCAACGCTAGAGCTTCTTCTTCGGTATTTGCTCCAAGTAAAGCATCATCGACATAGATTTGGCCACGAAGAGCATTGGCTGCTAGAGGGTGGTTTGAACTTTCATCAGCGATAAGCTGTTGCACGACCCGATTTGCCAAAAAAGGCGAAGAAGCCATGCCATATGTGACAGTAGTAAGCTTGTATACTTGTATAGGCTGTGATACATCATATCGCCAGTAAATCAATTGGAAATTACGATCCTCTGGATGGATCCAAATATTTCTAAACATTTGACGAATGTCACATGTAAAAACAATGCGGTGTTGGCGGAAGCCCATGATGATGGCTGGAATGTCGTTGTGTAGTTTTGGTCCAGAGTGAAGAATATGATTTAGTGACAGACCAGAGGAGGTAGCAGCAGAAGCATTAAAAACTACACGAATTTTTTCTCCTCGGAGAACTTCATGATGAGGGAGAAAGAAATGTGGTTGTTCCAATGCAGTAGGTGATGAACAACGTACCATGTGACCTGATTCTTCATAATCTTTCATAAAATCTACATATTTCTTCCTTAATTCTGGGTTGCGGTTTAGTCGATTTTCCAATGATTTGAAAATGCAAAGGGCAGAAGAAGAAGAATTCCCAAGAACTGAGGGAGATTGCTTGAATGGTAGACGTACTTGAAATTTTCCATCTTTACACCTGCTATAACCTTCTCTAAACTGGGTTTCACAATTCAGTTCATCTGGAGAAAGTGATGGTGCATCAGGCACATTTTCTTGAAGCCAAAACTTCTGAATTGACTGGTGAAGATCAGTATTTGTAATTGTCAGTAGATTAATTGATGAAACGCCTTCTACTGGTTCGACAGGTGTATTGCCGATCAATACGTAGCCAAAGACTGTATTCAGTGCAGTTGGCATATCATCACCAAGAGGGATTGCATCACCCTTTAGCGTACTGGCAAAGAGATCAGCACCAATTAGTAAGTCGACAGGAGCGGGCGTATCAAAAGTAGGATCAGCTAGAACAAGGTTGAATGTACGATCCTTAACCTCTCTTGATATGTGGCAAGCAGGTAGGTTAGTAGTTATGTTATCGAGTACAACAACTGGATGATTTTTCGCAACCACGTGGCCTCTCATTGAAGTAATGTTCAAGAAACAGAGTCCTTTAGTGGAGACAGTAGCAGATGATATTCCCAGAATTTTATGACTTGATGATTTTACTCGAGAAATTCCTAATCTGCGTGCACATGAATCACTGAGAAAACTTTGTTGAGCAGCGCTATCGAGCACAGCGCGTGCGACAATATTATTTCCATTGGGAGTGCATACATTTACTAGGGCTGTTCCTAGTAGAACTACATTGTTACTGCAATGAGATAAACCTACTAAGACCGTAGCATTCGATGTAGAGTCCTTAGTTGCAGAGGTATTGCTCTGTGTGGGTTCAGAAGGGGCATTGCTAGCAGCAGAATTAGGTTTTGAGCCATCAGAGGTATGTTTACGAGGATTATTCCTTGATTGATATTGTTTAGAACTGTTGAGACATTGGTTAGAGGGTTGATGGTTGCTTTGTGCATTCAAATGGAGCATAGTATGATGTCGACGTTGACATATATTACAAGATCGGAGAGAGTTGCAAGTTCTGACATTATGTTGACCCAAACAATTATTACACAATAAGTTGCTTTGTACAAACTTTAGTCTATCTGCTGGGGTTAAATTAGAAAATCTATAGCATTTGTATATGACATGATCACACGAAGAGCAGAAGTTACAATTATTTTGCGCAGTCAGTAGGGCAGTGCGGTTTTGGTAAGATCCACGAGTAGACTTGAATGCTACTTGATTACTCGAAGAACTCCTTTGCATACTGGCGTTGGTTAAGATTCTTGAAGGTACAAGTGAGAGATTAGCTGCCTCTAGTTGATTGCATTGGGTTTCAATAAAATCAATGAGTTCCTTGATGGTTGGTACCTGTTGTGAATCAGTCCTATCATGTTCAAACTTGGATCTGAAATCATTATCAAATTTCCTGAGGAGATATATAGTCATAAATATGCTCTCATCTTTGAGGTCCTCGTTTAAGGCACGCAAGGCACTAATGTTTTCCTGTAGGGATGACACAAATGATCTCATTTGTTTTACGGAGCTATTATGTACAGAAGGCAAATCAATGATATTATTTATGTGAAGTGTTATCAATAGCCTAGAATTGTTGTAGCGCTTAATCAGTTGCTGATAACCAATATGATAATTGGCAGCAGTAATGGGCAATGATTTAATCAAATTTAATGGCTCTCCATGTAGACAAGACAGTAAGTAGGTAAATTTCTCGACATCCGAGAGTTTAGAGTTTTTGTGAACAGTGCTTTCAAATAAGCTATAAAAAGCTATCCATTTGTCAGCTTGGCCAGAGAATTCACCTAGCTTAAGAGTAGGGAGTTTTACACCTGTAAATTCTACTGTACCGCTATTGACACTGGAATAAGATTGGTCCAGTCTGGGATCCGCTTTGGGAACAAGAATCGCACAGAGGCTGTGGATTTTAATATAAAGATCAGAGATTTCATCTTGGAGTTTAACAACATCAGCATCCTTAATATCTTCATCTGGTTTATCAGCACTATATAATTTACTAACCATTGACTCAAAATCATTACATTTCTTTGTAGCAGTTTCATCAATAATTTTAATTTTTGCTAAGTCTGCTTCTAGTAAAGGATCCGTCTTCTCTGAGAATGCAGTAACTTGTTGTTCAAAAGAATTCAACCTTAGTTTAATCAGAGAAGCTTGCTTAGTAAAATTACAGAAGCGCAATGGAGGCATTTTGTTTGCATAAATATTACAAGGCAAATAGTATGGACACTAGGTGCATAAAATTGAATTTAGCGGTTGGCAACAAAAGATTGTGTAAACCATGTTCTCATTATTCCAAACTCCAATAATTGTAGGACTAATAATTGTAAAAATACCACAGAGAAATTAATTAGCCTATTTAAGCAATGAGGAAATTCTCAGAACACATTAGTTCAATTGAAATTGAGTAAGAAATTATTGCTGACACATGAAAATGCATATAAATGTCAGAATATAAATAGAGTAATAGGCTAAGCTTAATATCCAATGAGCATATGAACAGAGATCAGATTCATTCATATATTGACTTGATAATATTCAATAGTAGGATACACAGTGCTAGAATTGAGGTAATCCTTTCAATGCAGTAAATAAATTGACCGTAAAATTAATATTTTTCTTCAATGCATCTATTGATAGTTATTCCCAGTTGTACAGAGTAATTAAAATTTAATCAATATTGATACTGTAGAAACAATCTTCAATCTCTACTGTGAGCTTATCAAATTGCATGTATTATGCACTTATTAACAAATAATAATGTGTGCAGTAGATCAATCTTAAATCCTCTTGAATTGTAAAAATAAATAAGAATATGCTTCTTCAGGAAATAAAATAAAATGTAAAATCTTCAATATAAATAGTATCTTGAGGATATAAGTTTCACAGAGAATTAAAGTTATATTCAGTAATTTTTAAAGAGTCAATTTCAATCTTCATGAGTGTTTAACACAAGTTAAATGAAATGGCAGGAAAATTCACTTCAATAAATTTCACTCATTAATAAATGTCAATATAACCTCATTGTTTAAAAATGTAAACAAAGGGAAAAAACGGGAAGAATAGGGATAATTTTTGATGCAGGGATATTTTTCGATCCTAAGGGATATTCAGGGATTTTTTGGGATTTTTCAGGGATTTTTATTGGAGCGGGGATTTTTCTAGAGCGTACGGGATATGTGGGGAAAGTAGGGATATTGATAGTTTGTGCACTAGCGATTGGCAAACCTGTTGGAAATACCGGCAAACTCACGACACTTGTTTTATCTTGAATGAAAATTCCTGTTCGAGATTGAAATGTTCATAGCTTTACTTTTTGGATGATTAAAATAAAACTGAGTTTCAGTTAGAATGAATTTGATTGAATAACAATATCCATAGCGAAATAGTTTATAATCCGGCTCGAAGGACCAAATATGTTATGGATTGTTTGAGAATTGAATTAGTTGCGTAATTTAATTAGTGGACTGTATTGTATTATGACGTTTGAATAAATTGAGCAGTAAAATGACACATCTGAAACTTGAAAGAAAATAATTAATGAAGTCTTATCTAATAGTAAAATTGAAGTATCACTCACGACCGATCCTTTCTTCTCTGTACGAAGCGTGGTCGGCGGCCTGGAGTGTGGAGTGTAGAATTCTCAGGGGCCCCTTGGTCCAGCGAAGATCATCCTGCCGTAGTGGATAAAGTCGTTCACGGACACAGAGATAATCCCGGAGGCGAGACACAATTATTGAATTTAAAACCGATCACGGTATAAGAAAGTTCAAGGCACAAACTGGTGCGTGATAAGCGGTAGCGGGCGGGAATGTAGATTGACATTGACATGAAGAAGAGATAAGAGGAAAAAGGAGTAGGTAATGCTACGTCACTGGCAGGATTGCCAACTAGGAAAAGAGGAATAACTAGCAATGAGTCTGTGTTTATGTATGTATGCCAAAATGGGCTAAACTTTAATTAAACTTGATTTTGTCCTTTTTATTTATTATTATTTACACAACAGGTGTACAAATGTGTACAAGGATGTAAAAGTTTGTACAAGTGTGTACAAGTTTGTACAAGGTTGTACAAGTGTGTACAAGGTTTTACAATTGTGTACAAGGTTGTACAAGTGTGTACAAGGTTGTACAAGTGTGTACAAGGTTGTACAAGTGTGTACAAGGTTGTACAAGTGTGTACAATTTGTACAAGTGTGTACAAGCTTGTACAAGTGTGTACAAGGTTGTACAAGTTTGTACAAGGTTGTACAAGTGTGTACAAGTTTGTACAAGTGTGTACAAGTTTGTACAAGGTTGTACAAATGTGTACAAGGGTGTACAAAAGTGTACAAGGGTGCACAAGTTTGAACAAAGGTGTACAAGTGTGTACAAGCTTGTACAAGTGTGTACAAGCTTGTACAAGTGTGTACAAGGGTGTACAGGTTTGTACTAGGTTGTACAAGTGTGTACAAGGGTGTACAAGTGTGTACAAGGTTGTACAAGTGTGTACAAGCTTGTACAAGTGTGTACAAGGGTGTACAAGTGTGTACAAGGTTGTACAAGTTTTTACATGGTTGTACAAGTGTGTACAAGGTTGTACAAGTGTGTACAAGGTTGTACAAGTGTGTACAAGGTTGTACAAGTGTGTACAAGGTTGTACAAGTGTGTACAAGGTTGTACAAGTGTGTACAAGGTTGTACAAGTGTGTACAAGGTTGTACAAGTGTGTACAAGGTTGTACAAGTGTGTACAAGTTGTACAAGTGTGTACAAGGTTGTACAAGTGTGTACAAGGTTGTACAAGTGTGTACAAGGTTGTAAAAGTGTGTAAAAGGGTGTACAAGTGTGTACAAGGTTGTACAAGTTTTTACAAGGTTGTACAAGTGTGTACAAGGGTGTAAAATCGTGTACAAGGATGTACAAGTTTGTACAAGTTTGTACAAGGTTGTACAAGTGTGTACAAGGATGTACAAGTTTGTACAAGGGTGTACAAGTGTGTACGATAAATAAAAGTGTGTACAAGTGTGTACAAGGCTGTACAAGTGTGTACAAGGCTGTACAAGTGTGTACAAGTTTGTACAAGGGTGTACAAGGTTGTACAAGTGTGTACAAGGTTGTACAATTGTGTACAAGGCTGTACAATTTTGTACAAGGCTGTACAAGTGTGTACAAGGCTGTACAAGTGTGTAAAAGGTTGTACAATTGTGTACAAGGCTGTACAATTGTGTACAAGGTTGTACAAGTGTGTACAAGGTTGTACAAGTGTGTACAAGGTTGTACAATTGTGTACAAGGCTGTACAAGTGTGTACAAGGTTGTACAAGTGTGTACAAGGTTGTACAAGTGTGTACAAGGTTGTACAATTGTGTGTCAGGTTGTACAAGTGTGTACAAGGTTGTACAAGTGTGTACAAGGGTGTACAATCGTGTACAAGGATGTACAAGTTTGTACAAGTTTGTACAAGTTTGTACAAGGTTGTACAAGTGTGTACAAGGATGTACAAGTTTGTACAAGGGAGTACAA